TACTGGGAGTGATACTACAGGGATTTCATCCCTTAAATCCTTTCTCCACACTCAGTTTCATACCAAAGATTTGGGAATGTTGAAGTACTTCTTGGGTGTTGAGGTAACAAGAAGCAAGAAGGGAATATTCTTATCTCAAAGGAAATATGTACTTGACTTGTTGTCTGAGATGGGAAAGTTGGGAGCTAAGCCATGTAGCACTCCAATGGTTCTTAACTTGTAGCTCACAAAAGATGGTGAATTATTTGAAGATCCTGAGAGATATAGAAGAGTGGTTGGAAAGTTGAATTATCTTACTGTAACTCGTCCAGATATTGCGTATTCAGTTAGTGTGGTGAGTCAGTACATGTCCTCTCCAACAGTTAATCACTGGACAACTATAGAACAAATTTTGTGCTACTTAAAAGGAGCACYTGGGCGAGGAATTTTGTATGGCAATCATGGTCATACTAGAATTGAATGTTTTTTAGATTCTAATTGGACAGGATCCAAGGAAGATCGAAGGTCTACTTCAGGCTATTGTGTATTTGTTGGAGGGAATCTAATTTCATGGAAAAGCAAGAAGCAGAATGTTGTCTCACGTTCGAGTGCAGAATCGGAATATAGAGTTATGGCCAAGTCTGTGTGTGAAATAATGTGGATATATCAGCTTCTGACTGAAGTAGGTCTTAAAACTTCAATACCAGCCAAGTTATGGTGTGATAACCAAGCTGCTCTTCACATTGCATCTAATCCTGTTTTTCATTCATGAACTAAGCATATCGAGATTGATTGTTGTTAGAATAATGTTAAAATAACTTAGTTGCAGATGTTAGGGCCTGTTTGGCTAATTAAAGTGCTTTTTTTATTTCGTTTTTTATTTATGTTATGTCTGTTATTGTACTCAGGGGCACAAGGGTCTTTTTTCCCTTGTGATTTCTGTCGCCCTATATATAGTAAAATAAAGACTGGCGCCGCCAGTACTGTTACATTGCAAAACCTTCTCTCTTCTCTTCTTCTTCTCTTCTCTTCTCTTCTCTTCTCTTCTCTTCCTCTTATCTCTAGCCGGCCACACTGTCAAGATGGTATCAGAGCCGGAATGCTGATTAAAAGAGAGCAGGTCGATCAACCCTACTGTCAAGAGAAAATCGATCAACCCAAAGAACAGATCGAACAGACTAGCAGAACAGAAATTTGATTCTGGACTACAGAATAGCTACAACTGGTACAGTTCTCCCTATTTTTCTCTTCTTTACCCTCCTTGGTCATGTGCCGAATGAAATCCCTATGAATCTGGGGTGGCTGAATGCTGTCGAACCTGTGTAACCCTAGTTTTCTTGGATCGTGTGATCCTGTTCATGTGTTAAGATAACTGTAGGTCAAGGATGACCTGTCTTCTCAATGGTTTGAGTTGACTATAAGTAAGAAGGATCTCTCCTGCTGATTAGTGGCTGTTAGACATT